TCAGTAGAGCGACACTTGGCCTTGGGCGGTTATCAAAAAAGGGAATCCAGCAGCTTATATCTGAGTTGCACCTAATGTCATCCAACTGCCCCCTCCAACCTAAATTGTCGTACCACTCACAAGGCCGAACAGACCAGTGGCATTTAAAGTGAATGGTTAATTGAAGCACCTTGAAATGGAACATTAAGGAACCAAATCTGATCAAAAATACTTTGAAACTCCGCCAACCCATTAACCGCAAGATTCAGGCAGCCACACTAACCAACAAGAACCATTATTCGATATTCAACACTGTCCCAGTTTGTTAATCTAAGGATGCCTCACTGATGGTTTACTGATTGCCTTGAAACCTGGTCAACTTGGTGACCTGACAACGTGGCCTGATGAAGCTTTTGTATCAAAAACGAAATGTCACCCAATTTAAGGCTACCGAGTGTTTACGAAGCCCATCTGAAGTATGATTGACTTAATTCTCCCACAAGAAAAACACAAGAGAAAGGACATTAACGGAACCATGAACCCTATAGACTGTTTAAAGTCTTAACCACAGATTTTGATTCAGTTCATGTAACTCACGTTATCTCGGCATCATGGTGCCCATTAATGTCAAAAGCTGGCGTGACGCTTGGACTCAATGAAAACGATGTTCAACATGCTTTATCTACGCATAGATTTCCCGATCACTTAAAAATTCCTCGTTTTCATTCGATTTTATGCTTCTAGGGGGCTAGTGGGGGAGGAGTGGGAAGGTTAGTAGAGATACTGCACGCTGTATGGTTGAGTAGTTGCTGCTTGGTCAGATGATTTAACCGTTACTTGGGGAATTATTCGACAAAATGTAGGTTTCGTACGGAAGATGCCAAACTAACTAACTCGACGAAGCTTTGGCACACCGTATGCTTCAAAAATATGAACCTTGGGAGCGGATATGTGACGTTTTCGGATAGCTGGCCTTCATTACTACTGCAGCAGGACCACCAGTAGTATCCAAAACGTTAAACATAATAAATGGTCTTGGTGGAGCTTTCTGTCAAACATGTCGAATCGCCTAATACAGAAAAGGTGAAAGTGTCGAGGCGGACCATGTGTAAACTGAGAGAAGGGTACGAAATGCTTTTGATGCAGTGTGCTTGCCGTCACGTCCTCTGTGACCATCCCCGTGCTTGGCTGAATACTGGACTGACATTATCAGTAGCGTACCTAATGGGTTATTTCAATCCAGACTGTTCGAATGAGCGCCTTCTAGGTGGCATCACCAGCCTTTTTCTCGTCGTGTTTCTCCTGACTTTGGGGGTACTTAAGAACCACCATTCGAAACAATGTCTGAACACACTGTTGTCTGTGATGGTGGCGTGTATGTTCTCGCACACTGGCACAAATTCCATCGGAACACGTATGACATTGAACTTAATTCGATTATTATCTTCTTGGTAGATTTGGAAATTTATAAACCATGAAAGATCGAAACCTTCTGGAATGGCTATTGGGCGACATACTGATTACCCAATTCTGGTTTTCCAAGTTGTTACGCAATGAAGTTTTTCAGCTTGATGAAAAAAATTTAGAAATTCTGACAGTAATCAAACGGTTAAAGGAACTTTATAAACTGACGAGTTTAATGCGTCTGTGTTCTGACCAATCAGTTGAGCGCATTACTGTGATTCCTGACGCTCGTAAATGTTACATCACCCCATCTCTATTCGTTTCAGCGGCTACTTCAGCAACCTATATTTCCCATACTTGGTTCAAGTGGCATATCGATCTCCGCTTGTGGCGGTGCAGTTCATGAGCCCAAAAAGACATGTGCTGCTGATGGTTCGGTGTGAATTGCTCAACATACGACATCCTGGGGAACCTTTGGACTTCGAAATTTTGGTTGATTGATATGCATTCCTTCTCACGCACCATGGGCAATACTAGTTTGTTCTATCCTTCTATTTTCTAGCCGAAAAGCTGTTCTGGTTTAGCCTTTTTGCGTACCGCCATTTTTGACATGCATATTTTCACCTTTTCAATTTGATTGGCTGAGATCTGCCGTAGGCTATGTACAGATGTTGTTGAAATATTTTTTTCGTATACATTCCATCTAAACGCATGTTCATTGGGAAATCAAGCTCCCGGTTTCTGTGTGTGGGTTCGTGATAGGCTATGTCAGATGTTGTTGAAATATTTTTTCGTATACATTCCATCTAAACGCATGTTCATTGGGAAATCAAGCTCCCGGTTTCTGTGTGTGGGTTCGTGAATTTCTACCAGTAAGTTGAGATATGTCTGTACAAAGTACCCATCATGATTTTCATGCTACAGTGTACCAATTATGGCCATATGCAACGTTGTAAATTTCTCGTGCGCCTTCCGTTACCGTCTTGGGTGACTGAACAGTGGATTAATTGGTCTGTATGAATAAACGTTAATGCGAAACCGGTGTCCAAGTAACCCATTTTGGCATGGGGCCAGTTTCCTCTTTATCATACAACTAGCCAACTATCCGTTTCCTGTCTTTTGCTACCAAGGCACTTCAAATAACCGATGTAGAAATCCATGGAGACTGAAAAATGTCATGACCGACTGCAAGTTAGCCACATTTTTTTCCAATGAAGCGTTGTGGTAGACTCACAAGGGAAACAACGCATTGGCAGGGAATGTTCAGTGACTCGGTGTCGGTAGCAGAACTTACTTGCTCGCGCAATCTATGAGACTGCTTGCTATTAAGTCTACGACTCTGTTGAAAATAACGGTAGCAGGCAAATTGTGAAATGAAATTATGAACTGCCGAGGTTAATTATCAACAGAACTCCAACAATGTCCATGTCAGGATGCTTGATCCTATTGGGCACGGAGAATTAGTCAATCATAAGCTGATAAAATTTGAAATTTATGCTCACCAGTCAGGTGGAACGAGTTTTGCTGAGGGATTGCTGAGTAATTAGTGAATAAGCTTTTTGGGGCTTCTTATCTATCGGGCTGTCAGACGACTGTCCGACGACTCAAAAATGAATCAGTCTTGAACTATCTGTGCTATCGGGCTACATAAAGCTCAGCCTTATGAGCGCTTCCCTCTACTTTGGGGCTTATCAGGTAGGATCGGACAGACGACTACTTAATCAATAGCTTGAGGCTACTATTCCTCGCATCATTCGTCTGAGAACCAGAACCGATTTCACTTTCGTTTTGCTTCCTGGCTGAACCAGTTCTTGACCTATTCAGACGTTCACCTGACTACGGTGAATGGTCACACTATTTTTTCCGATTGTGATTGCTAAGGAACGGATTCGGATTTACGCCGAACCGAATATCGAAACTACTCACAGGGTTGCTGAAAACTCTTCAGAAGCTCGCGATCGGTTTAGTGGGATTCAGTTGGGTCTCGCGTTAAAACCAAGTTGATATGCAAATAAGTGTATTTGTCGAAATTTGTCCAGTTTGTGTTCAAGTAGAACATTAAGCTGACGTAAACTCGAGGACTGCGCCTACCCGATGAGTCCCAAGAGGACTGAAACCGGTCGTAAGCTGTAGAAATTTTTCAGCAACCTACTGATTGGTTTCCTTCATGAAAAAACTGTAGATACGTTCGATTGTTCATACCTAAGACATCGTGAGTAACATTATCATTTATTTTTGAACAGCATGGTCACAAACATAAAAAGTGAATGCAGGCGACGAATGCGAAAGGGTAACAGGAGAATATGGGAGAAAAGAGAGAAACGTCTCATTCGAATTCATGCCAACAACAGGTCCAGTAAGATGAGATGAATCTCAAAGTATGTAAAAATTTTGATGTGGAAACATGCGTCTAAAGACCAACAACCGAAAAAAGGACAAAAATGTTGAATGCTCTTCAAGGCGCGGTAGGCGCTAGTACAGTCAAGGCGCGCACATCAGGCACAAGGTGTCCGCCATACTGGGTCCGGTGTGAGATTAAATGGCAAAAATGTACGTTCAACGCCATGTGCCACGCATAAAAGTGTCAGAGGTGCGCAGCGAGCCCACAATGGCAAGCAAATACAAGTCACTGACTGCAGCCTTAAGAAGTTAGTTAGTTTTTAGTACCTAATCGATTTAACCAGAATGAATGTAGCTCCTGCATGCAAAAAAATAACTCGTCGAATTAGGCGGGATTCCACTGTAAGCGATGAGTGAAAACAAAGATCGACCATTAATTTTTTCGAGCTTCTCAAACGACTGTTGGAAAACCGGACTAAAATAAGTTGCTTGTATAGAAAATCAGGTTTATCTTTCATCCGATGGTAGTAGTCGACCATAAGCACAACATTTTGTGGATTAATGTGCACTTCATTCGTGATCCAGAATATAGCATTTAAGAAAATCTCATTAACCGGGCCATATACAATCTGGACACATTGTTTTCGTCAAAACTGTCACACCATGAAGCTAGAGAATAAACAAACCGGTTTCAAATGTCTTCACACATACACACTGCGATTAAAATGCGAAAATCGTGATTCAGCACAAGCTATACGAAGCCTACCGGAGACAATACAGTTGCCGTTCCAGTGAAACTAGCCCGGAGTCGATTGAAATCGCAGAAAAGGGAATAGCTGTCAACGTGATAAATATAACAAGGTTACCGTGGTAGTTCGGGACAATTTACTCAATTTTTAAGATCTTTTGTGTAGCCTGAAATTCTGCAGTTGTCGGGGGGACATTATTATCGTATTGCTTCTATCGGGCTGTCAGACGACTGTCCGACGACTCAAAAATGAATCAGTCTTGAACTATCTGTGCTATCGGGCTACATAAAGCTCAGCCTTATGAGCGCTTCCCTCTACTTTGGGGCTTATCAGGTAGGATCGGACAGACGACTACTTAATCAATAGCTTGAGGCTACTATTCCTCGCATCATTCGTCTGAGAACCAGAACCGATTTCACTTTCGTTTTGCTTCCTGGCTGAACCAGTTCTTGACCTATTCAGACGTTCACCTGACTACGGTGAATGGTCACACTATTTTTTCCGATTGTGATTGCTAAGGAACGGATTCGGATTTACGCCGAACCGAATATCGAAACTACTCACAGGGTTGCTGAAAACTCTTCAGAAGCTCGCGATCGGTTTAGTGGGATTCAGTTGGGTCTCGCGTTAAAACCAAGTTGATATGCAAATAAGTGTATTTGTCGAAATTTGTCCAGTTTGTGTTCAAGTAGAACATTAAGCTGACGTAAACTCGAGGACTGCGCCTACCCGATGAGTCCCAAGAGGACTGAAACCGGTCGTAAGCTGTAGAAATTTTTCAGCAACCTACTGATTGGTTTCCTTCATGAAAAAACTGTAGATACGTTCGATTGTTCATACCTAAGACATCGTGAGTAACACCGTCATTTATTTTTGTACAGCATGGTCACAAACATAAAAAGTGAATGCAGGCGACGAATGCGAAAGGGTAACAGGAGAATATGGGAGAAAAGAGAGAAACGTCTCATTCGAATTCATGCCAACAACAGGTCCAGTAAGATGAGATGAATCTCAAAGTATGTAAAAATTTTGATGTGGAAACATGCGTCTAAAGACCAACAACCGAAAAAAGGACAAAAATGTTGAATGCTCTTCAAGGCGCGGTAGGCGCTAGTACAGTCAAGGCGCGCACATCAGGCACAAGGTGTCCGCCATACTGGGTCCGGTGTGAGACTAAATGACAAAAATGTACGTTCAACGCCATGTGCCACGCATAAAAGTGTCAGAGGTGCGCAGCGAGCCCACAATGGCAAGCAAATACAAGTCACTGACTGCAGCCTTAAGAAGTTAGTTAGTTTTTAGTACCTAATCGATTTAACCAGAATGAATGTAGCTCCTGCATGCAAAAAAATAACTCGTCGAATTAGGCGGGATTCCACTGTAAGCGATGAGTGAAAACAAAGATCGACCATTAATTTTTTCGAGCTTCTCAAACGACTGTTGGAAAACCGGACTAAAATAAGTTGCTTGTATAGAAAATCAGGTTTATCTTTCATCCGATGGTAGTAGTCGACCATAAGCACAACATTTTGTGGATTAATGTGCACTTCATTCGTGATCCAGAATATAGCATTTAAGAAAATCTCATTAACCGGGCCATATACAATCTGGACACATTGTTTTCGTCAAAACTGTCACACCATGAAGCTAGAGAATAAACAAACCGGTTTCAAATGTCTTCACACATACACACTGCGATTAAAATGCGAAAATCGTGATTCAGCACAAGCTATACGAAGCCTACCGGAGACAATACAGTTGCCGTTCCAGTGAAACTAGCCCGGAGTCGATTGAAATCGCAGAAAAGGGAATAGCTGTCAACGTGATAAATATAACAAGGTTACCGTGGTAGTTCGGGACAATTTACTCAATTTTTAAGATCTTTTGTGTAGCCTGAAATTCTGCAGTTGTCGGGGGGACATTATTATCGTATTGCTCCAATTTTTCACGTGTTGTTCTGGTCTGCTCTGTAATGCTGATACCTCCCATTTTTGTGGAAATAGAGGGTAAGATTATCTGTTCAACCAGAAAACAACTGTTCGCGAATATAATATAATAATAATGTCGGTAATGTGTTCATCAGTTTTTTGTGGGTGGAATATCAGAAACACTTTTCGACCAGTATCCCAAACTTTCTGCCACACTATCAGCGGCCAGTGACGTGTTGTACAACGAAAAGATAGATTCCTACCACATTACCCCTAGCACAAAAACCTTGTCTATCCAAACTACAGAATCAAATAACGATAGGCCTCATGTACGGTTTAGTTTCACTGGACGATCACGCTGGATTGTCGATAGCAAAGTAATATACCGCTTTTCCTTAGTTTGATGACTCGACAGCGGTCGCTTTTCAAGGAAGTTCCAGAATAAACTGCTCTCACGGTTATGTGCCACATTTCCCCACCTGATGATAAAGTGTCAGCAGACACCTCGATCGAGTGATGCGCGACAGACAATCCAGGTGATAAATCATCATCATCATCATTGTCAGCTGTAAGAACCGCGTACTGGTCGTACACTGGTTGTAGCTGCCACAGTTTTGTTCACCGATGATTGGGGGGGGAGTAGCTGCGCATTGCACGCGCGAGCTGGTAAATTGGTGCATAAATCCAGCACTGTCAGTGGGTTGTCAAGCGGGGGGTGGAAAAGGAGCTATGCATTGAAGGCAATAGCTTGGATGCACGAGCGCCATTGAGGGCGCGACTGGGCCATGTCTGATAATGTCTCTAGCCATTGATGTGGCCCGTCTCGGGGTCCCCATCCAGGAAGACGGCAGTGACCAGCGCAGCTGAGTTTGCTGGTAATGGCTTTCATACTTCGCTGCCAAGTCATTGTTTGACCGCCTCTGGCTCTCTTCCACCCTTCACATGGTCGGGCGAAAAGAGCCCTTCGAGGAATGCGGTCGACTGGCATACGCAGCACGTGGCCAAGCCAACGCAACCTGTGCAGTGTGATCAGTTCATCTATCGTGTGCGCACTTGAAAAAGCTCCCGAACAACACAGGTGCATTCGACACAGCAGAGTGCGCACGTTTCCCATTGGCTGCTTATCAGATCGAGGAGTGAGGGCAAGAAAACGATATTCCAATCTCCAGTTTTCTATTTATTCAACGGAAGGTATCAAGGACAAAGCTGGTCAGCAGATTGCAAGTAGACTGCAAGTGAGATTTGCCATAATCGACTTGTTATCTTGCTGCTTGGATATCAGCTATTACGGTGCTTTTTCCAGACCAAGCTGTGACCCCATTTAAAATGAAGGTGGTGCACGTGATGTGCAAAACTTAAGGCCGACTGATCAAGCAGAAATTAGGAATGTTGTTCAAAAATACAAAAATTCAAAATTTACTACAATGTCCTGAAAACTACAGAACCTACTTCGCACAAAAAGCAGTTGAAGGTTCAAACGAAGTACCACAACCCCATAGAAATGTTCGAACTTTGAATTTAGACTACTTTAAAAAGGTGTTGAACAAATCACAAACCGTAATATCTTGTCCTCTTATACGGCTGAGGTGATCGCTTTTGTGACTCAAAATATCCGGCCTGTCTTCCTAACCCCTTTCTTTGCACCTAAAAAACCACGAACTTATGACGCATTGGGATTTCCCACAACAGTGCACCGCCAAACGCAAGCTCCCCATAGGTCCGCTGACAAGTTTGACTCAATGAAACAGAAAGAATTTATTCCATTCATAATAAAAGGACCAGTTTTTTTATCGACGAATGAGCAAAAGGAGAGAACTCAAAGTTACAGCACACGTTTACATGTCAGTAATGAGTTCAGCAGTGATTTTGTAACCATTTCCAATGGTTTTCCGCATGTCATCCAATTTCTTTGTTTCCTCTGAAGAAGAAAAGTTGCAGTTAGAAAACGCAGATTCCAAAGCAGATTAGCAAAGTAACACTTCTTAGTTCAGTTTAATGCGCTGACTTGACAAAGAAATTCGATCCACAAAAACTTTTCGATGACGCATATAATTATCAACATATCCATAGAGATCCTGCAAAACTCATCTCAAGCTAAACTCAAAGCCTACCTCTAGCACAATATCTCTCGTAGCTTTGCCAGTCAGGCCACTGGTTGATGCTGATGCTTCCTGGGTCCTCAACCCCGCGCCACTTCCACGGTTCGTTCTGACATACGATCAATGGAACACCCCCGAATTTCTGAACCAGGCAATCAAGCTCCGGAAGATATTTGGTTTCGTATAGGTCCTTGAAACTTAGATGAAGGTTGGTAATTTCGATGATGGGGTAGCCTGAAACATCCAGAAAAACCTTTTTTTGAACAAAAGCTGCTTTATTTTTAGCTGAAGTGGGGGGTTTTGTTGATTTGCAGAGGAAGGAAAGCCGACGGTGAAAGTGATTTAACAAGCACTATCTGCAAGGTTTATTGACACAAAGCTTTGCTCTTCGCCGCTGAGCGAATAAATGTGACTTGAAATCATTAATCCTCACCTCAGAAATCAGATGGTGATGACAAATTATGCTAACTTTTCACTTGATCTTGAAGTCTGGATTAGCGTCAACGTGTTTTTTCGTTAAAATAAGGTCATTTCAATTTGCCCGTAGCATTGCCGAGATGAGGACACTGTGTTATTGTGGGTAGCATAAATATCATAATGTAAAGTTCACCATGTGCGTATTTTTATCGTTTTTGAACTTTTGAAACGCTGCTTTGTTAATCCTCCGAAATGCGTCAGGTTACTTATCTTGTACAGTTCCTGGTCTAGGTCATTTCGGTCGTCTTGGTTCAGAACATTTCATGAATACTACAATGTCCCAGATATTGTATCACTACACTTTCATTAATTCCTGATAATCCGGCTATGCTATGAGAATATTTTAGTGGCCCTACAGGCTCTAAAACTTTGAAGGTGTTCCGTCAGTTAGTTTAGTTCACTTGTTCAGCTCACAAGTGATTTCAGCTACTACAGCTTCGTTCACCGAGGAAAGGAAGATCAAGCGCATGTCAGCCACGCACTGGAGGCAGTGGCCTAGTCAGTTCATAGAAGTAGAATAGTTCAGTTTGTTCAGTCTTTCAGGGACTGATAGCTGGGCAGTGAAGGCGATAGATGTTGTACAAGACCGCCACTGGCTGTATGAAAGTCACCTGTTACGGTTCTGTCACGCAGCGAGCAAACAATATGATAATGCGGATTGTGGCAATACTCTATCCCCAGCTATGTTGCTTGATCCAGACTCCTAGCACGGCGAATAGTAAGAAGACGAAAACCTCGGACACAA